GATTGTAACCATGGCAATGAAACGATATATGATAGGATGAATGTAAAACTAATGTTCTCCTATGTAAACTCACACATAATTCACAATAAAACATTCAATAATAAAATAATACCATTGACATGGAGAGCTGGAGTGGCTGGGGACTCTAAACCCAGAGAGGGAGAGGGGCTGTGTGCTGATGACCGGGTGGGGGCAGGCTTGTAGGGTATACCCTTTGGTTGGATGATGATGCATGGAGGGGATTGTAACTATGGCAATGAAACGATATCTGATAGGATGAATGTAGAGCTAATGTTCTTCCATGTAAACTATCACATAATTCATAATAAAACATTTAAAAATATATTAATACCATTATCATTCCAAAGAAAAGATGGTGGATATATGCATGAAATACTAGACTTTGAGAATACAGTATTAAGATGTGATCCATGATGATGATTCTAGCCAGGAGACATACTATACACATAGAAACTCTGTCAGTGTGACAATGGGAATACTACTGTGGCTAGAATAGACAGGCAAGAACTGCCAGAGAAGGTTTGCCTTGAATCCCATTTCACCGGACTTATATAAGCTAAAAGGAGACAAGGGTTTCTTCTACTTGTAAAGCACTATTGAGCAGCATACTATTGATCCAGCTTTGACTGCAAAATGTTCTTGAAAGCAATAAATCATATCAGAAACCGTTTGTAATTTAATTGTTTCATTAATTCAGACTGTCCTTCCTCTCAGTTGGCCCCAAATAAAACAGTTTCAGCAAGTATACAATGATTTATTTACTTTTATTGAAAACACAAATTAAAGGAAGAAAAATAAATTAAAAATCATTCATCACCCCAACACAATGCATTTCAGTTTTACATACAAACCACATGCATGAGGAGTTTACAAAGTCACATAGTAGTTTGGATACTATAATGCATTGTGCTTATTTCATTTACCATATCATAGACACACCCATGTTTTTACAGTCTTCCAGATAATTACATAAATGGCTGTATTCACTATTTTTATCACCTTACTTTCCTTGACATCTAGGTTATTTTTCATTTTTCCTGTCACAAAAAATACAGACATACACAGCTTCATGCATTTACCATGTTTTCTTCTGAATTATTCCTTTAGGTTGAGAATCTAGGAGTTGAATTAATGGGGCAGAAGATATGCTCATGTCTCTGGCTCTGGGTATGTAGTACCGTATCACATTCTCAGAGGGTTACCGATTTAAAATGACATCTGAAATACCATTCAACAGTTCCTATCCAAACTTTAAAAAAAAAAAAAAAAATGGTGTTAGGTTGTTTTTAACTTCAGTATTTGGAGTTAGATATATTTATGGTTACTGAGTCAGAATCAATTCAGTGGCAGTGGTTTTTTACAAAATGAAGAGTATGGAGTAGAAGGTCTCACTGATTATGGAAAGTTTAGATAAACTATGTAAGCAATGTGGCATTATGGTGCACAAGAAAAGTGGCCTGGTAGGTATACTGGGTAAATAAACAAAAGTGTTTCTGACCCACAGGCTCCAGTCATCCAGGGGTCCTCTGGGCACATCCATGTCCCACAATCCCAGTTCATATAGGTTGGGAAGCTCTAAACCAAAGAGACGTTAGGTGACTCGACCCAAGTCACAAACCTAGTTACTGGAAGAGATGAATATGAACCCAAATTGGACTCTCATCAATGGATTTTCTACTGTATTACAACTGTTCTATGTACTTTCTAGCTCTGAAATTCAATTTTATATGCAAACATGAATCTATAATTGAGAATAAAGAATTTTCTAACATGCTTAAACTAAAGATTCCTAAACTAGCTATTTACATCAAAACTGAAAATTAAAAATATCCCTTAACTTCAGTAAATGTTTGACTATTTTCTCTGCAATTTTTCATATTTGCTATTCTTTTAAATTTAGTTTGTAAACTTTTGAACAGTGATAAACTTTTATACAGCAGTCTGTATACCTCAGGTGGTCAGGAAAGAAAAGTAACAATAAATTACACACACTACAACGAACAATAAACTAGACTCAAAGTCTATCCACATTCTAAATAATTTCAAAGGTGAAAAAAATGTGTGTAAGTGTTGATTTTGTAGAGGTAGAAAAGATTCCCTCTTGAAATTTCTAATTCCTACTGAAACTGAACCTTGACATACACTGTCTTATTACTTTACAAAGAAGCTCTGCTGCTGCTGTTGAGTTAGGCATTGGATTGCTAACTGCAAGGTCGGCTAGTTCAAACCCACCAGTTGCTCCACAGGAGAAAGATGAGGCTGTCTGCTCCCATAAAGATTTAGTCTCTAAAGAGCGGTTCTACTCTGTCCAACAGGGTCACCATGAGTTGGAGTCAACTCAATGGCAGTAGGTTTGGTTTGAGTTTTATTTCTTTACAGGGTCATAGGAGACATTGCAATTCATAGAATGAATTTGACCTTCACCCAGTATTGATGCTACCAGGAGGAAAAGATTCACCACAAAGGCATTTAACCTTTGAGCAAATGTCCAATATTCCATACAAGCTTGAAAAAGCACAGATTCTAGGGGATAACCCCAGTGATTCAGCTGCATATACGTAGACTTTTCTTAACCATCCATCACTGGGTTTAGGGGTACAGTAATGGTTAGGAATCAACATTTTTCAATCCTCTACTATGTGACAGGCCACAATAACAAGTTAGGGACTTCAAAACTCTTTTTTTAAAACTATACCCCAAAACAGCAATTGCTTGGTCACTTCTGCAGATTTGGTCAGACATTATACACACAAACACAGCCATGGGACCGCATGGCACTTGGAAGATTACCAACTATTTCCCACTTATTGAGATCTGGATCATATTTCTCAATGCTCTGAAGATAGGTTCCCTTTGAATAGGAATATCCTCCAGTGACATAAATGCATCCGTTCAAGATGACGGCACCACATTCCATCCTCCTTTCCATCATGGGAGCAATTTGTCTCCACTCATTTTGTTCCGGGTCATAGCATTCTGTGATTGTCGTTTGTCCACCAACTAGATAGAGTTTATTTTCAAATGGAACGGAACACAATCCATACTCTTTTAAAAAGAAAAAAAGAGCAAAATTTTATTAGGATAAAAAACACACACACACAAGACATACTTACTGTAGCAAGGTGATGTGCTACTCCTTTACAACTGAGCATGCAAAAATAGAGTGAGGCAATCCCCCGATTATGAACCTCTAGCTTTCAGACAACTGCTACTTATCCTTCAAGCAGGGCTTCAAATGGATTCAAACCAGCTCTGTCATGGCCAAGGAAGTGAAAGAGGAAGAGACCTGAAGTTTTACAACTTGGATGATCCATCAAAGTAACCAAAGTGGGAAAAATTAACAGGTAGAAACCCTAGAATAGAAGCCCTGGTGGCACTGTGGGTTAGGCATCGGGCTGCTAATTGCAAGGTCAGCAGTTCAAACCCAGCAGCTTCCCTGTGGGAGAAAGATGAGCTTGTCTGCTCCTTAGGAAGATTTAGTTTCAGAAACCCTAATTGACTCTGTCCAACAGAGTTGCTATGAGTTGGAACTGACTTGATAGCAGTGGGTTTGGCATAGGAGACTTGGAAAAGGAGCAGTGAGCCCTTTCTGGAGCTTGATGTGTGAGACTGGACGATTGGTAAGACAGTGGAGAGTCACACACGTTTGAAGAAGCATCTCTGAGTAGGGTGCTGCTGTTCATTCACAGCTTCAAAGACCTGCTTTAATGTTATGTACCTCTAGCCTCACTTAGAAACAACTGAACCAACCCCTACACAGCAACAAACTTTTCAACTTTTAAATCACTGAAGAAACTAACAATCTTTTCTTACACTAAAGTAAAGCTAAGTAAGAATCCGATGGACCTATAACAATTGACCTAGAAATTCTTAAAGACACATGATTGGATCTCATTCACAGCCTGGGGAATTGCCTGTAATATAACATATTAACACACTACTGCAATACTGTGGCTTCAAATCCATTCCTTATCACCTGATTCAGATTCCCTGTTCCTGGCCCACTGCCATTACACCCCCGCAGGTCATCCTTAAATTGGCTGTGCAGAATAGCAGAGAGGAACTCATCCCCAGCTCTTACGCCTAACAGGGAATCCACTCACACAGGTGTTTCTGATTCAACACACATCTGAGAAAGCTGTAATCAGTAGAGGTCTTTTTACACAGAGGTATTAGGTAATGAGTGTAGGTGTTTTCAGGTCTTATCACATGTGACAGTTAAGGTTTTGGGTCAACTTGACTAGGCCAGGATTCCCAGTAGTATTGTTGTGGTTAAGTGCTGTCAAGTTGCTTTCACCTCATAGTAACCCTGGATAGGGTTTCCGAGGCTGCAAATCTATGTGGGAGCAGAAAGCCTCATCGTTTCCCAACCAGGTGACTGGTGGTCTTGAACCATCAACCTTGTGATCTGCAGTTTAGGAAGAAAGTGAGGAACACTTTTTCCTACAGAACCACTGCACTCCCTGGTTTAGTAGTTGTTGTTGTTAAGTGCCATCGAGTCAGTTCGGACTCATAGTGATCCTGCATAGGGTTTCCAAGGAGTTGGTAGACTTGAACCACCATCTTCATGGTTATCAGTCAAGTGCACTAATTCCCCATGAGGAGAGCTAATATAATCACCCCATGATGTGATTTGATGCAATCAGTCCTGATCTGATCCTACATGCTGTATATCCTCTTTTCTATGATGTTAACAAGCTGGGATGAAATCTATAGCATTAGGTTTTGAGTCCAATTCTTTTGAGACAATGTAAGAGATTAAATACCCAAGCAGAACTCAGAAAGTCCTACTACCACCAAGGAAAGTCAGGAGTGGGGTGCATCCTTTGGATCTGGGTCCCTGAACTGTGAAGGACAAGACTGATGCGAAGACACATGGAGATCTCCGAGGAATGCTGGGCTACCTATGCTAAAAAGGAGACAAGGACCTTCCTCCAGAGCTGTAATTCTGAATTCAGATTTCTAGCCTCCTCAACTGTGAGAGAATAAATTTCTAATTAGTTATAGCCATCCACTTGTGGTATTTCTGTGATAGCACTAATTAACAAGACACCATGTAGTCCCTGCAACCAGTTACCAGCAATTGGGAGTGTCTGCTGCCACAGGTGCCACACAGGATTACCTTGCTGGCCACATTAAGGACATAGGAAGTCAGAGAAACATACAGCCAACTAGAATAGCACCGAACTACAGTCTGTTATCCTAAGAAGGTAGGGGTTTACTAAGATCTGGGGACTGGGGCAGGGAGTCTGTCGTAGGGGTTAGAGCCTTGGCTGTTGCAGCGTTCCTTTCTTCCTCTTCTTTAAACCAAGCCCTATGGGCTCTTCAAGGACACCAGGATCTTTTACAAATTCATTTCCTCTTCCATCTGCCCAGCATTAACTAGGGTGAGCAAGTGAGGCACCTGGAGTACAAAATGTAAGGGGTTTTCACTCTCAAGGGTGACTGTTTAAATTCTATGCCTTAGGCGTCCCACTTGCCAACCTTGTTCCTTCAGTATCCCCACTACTAGATTGTTGGTTCACTTCTCCAGGAATAGCAACTACAAAACCACGCTGCAGGGCAGGAGGAGGAGGAGATTTGTCAGTGGCGCTTGTACTACAGTGAACAAAGATCTTGCTGGCCACTTCTGAGCTGTTCCTTCTGTCTGAGACTCTTCTCTCTGGAGGTCTGCACGTGGCTGCCTCCTTCTTATTATTCAGGTCTCACCTGATTGTCACCTCCTCAGAGGAGTCTTTTCTGATTATCCATCCTAAAGGGGCCATTCAGCCATCTCTACCACCTCACCCTGTTTTAATTCCCTCCACAACACTTTGCACTGTCTGATGTTTCTTGTCTCTTGTCTCTCTCTCTTTTTCCTTTCCAGCAGTGCTAGAACTGTGTTCTATCCCCTGCTCTACTCCCAATCAGAGAATGTAACAACCTACAGACTCAATAAATATTTGCTGAATCCATGAACAGACTGTAACTTGTATCTCTGCGCCCCACTGTGTGCCTACGCTATTGTATGGGGGAAAAAAACATCAAAAATTGGTTTCCACTTTAAGAATGGAAGACAACTTCTTATCAGTAAAATTCTTGCTAAGTTGTAAAGACTAAAGAAAATTCTCAAAAGAGAAGTATTTTTGTTTTGACTCCATGTACTATTCTCAAGTTTCTGATATCAAAGACAAAGGAATCCTCATACTACTAAGACACCCATTTGTTGATTTCTAGTTGTAGGAGCTCTGGTAGCGTAGTGGTTATGAATCGGGCTGTGAACCATAAGTCAGCAGTTCGAAACTACCAGCTGTTCCACGGGAGAAAGATGAGGCTTTCTGCTCCCGTACAGATTTAAAGCCTCGGAAACCCTGTACAGGTTCGCTATGAGTTGGAACCGACTCCACGGCACACAACAACAACAACTAGTTGTATAAAGGTAGAATTCAATAGGCTCTTATTCTCTGAAGTACTGGTAAAGCACTGTTATTTATATGAGAAGACTTCAAAATGTTCGTGGAAAATGAAATGAAAAGGCAATGGAATTTTTCCATGAACTTTCTGAAGTCCTCTCATAGATATTAAATTAATTATTTCATCAAATGGTCATTGTGAAGGTTAATGATAGTTCAAATATTTTATCAGTAAATATTGTTCACCACGGTGCATGGAAGGGATTGTAACCATTGCAGGGAAACAAAATATGACTGGATGAGTGTTAAACTGATGATCTGTTCTTAAACAATCACTCAGTTCACAATAAAAGCTTAAAAAAAATAAAGGCAAAAATATTTTTATCAGTTTGTGTATTTGTAATTTATTTATTCATTTATTTATACAACAGGTGTTTACTGAGCACTTCCTAGGTGCTATACACAGTACCAGGCACTCTACAAACAAGACACAGTCTTTCACCTCAGTTGTTAAGAGTTGTGTGCCATCAGGTCATTCCAACTCATAGTGACCTAGTATAGGGTTTCTGAGAGTAGCTGGTGGGTTTGAACTCCTGCTGACCTTGAGGTTAGTAGTCCAGTGCTTATCCTATGTTGTTGTTGTTGTTAGGTGCCATCGAGTCAGTACCAACTCATAGCGACCTTATGAACAGCAGAACGAAACACTGCCCAATCCTGGGGCAACCTCACTATTGTTGCCACGCTTGAGCCCATTGATGGTGCTACTTGGCCAAATCTATCTCGTTGGGGGTCTTCCTCTTTTGCTATGACCCTCCACCTTACCAAACATGATATCCTTCTTCAGCGACTGGTCCCTCCGAAGTATGAGAGACGAAGTTTGGCCATCCTGGCCTCCATGGAGCACTCTGGCTGCGCTTCTTCCAAAACAGATCTATTGATTCTTTTGGCAGCCCATGGCACTTTCAATATTCTTCTCCAACACCATAACTCAAATGCATCAATTCTTCTACAGTCTTCCTTATTTACTGTCCAGCTTTCAGATGCATATGAGGTTATTGAAAATACCATGGCTTGGGTCAGGCGCACCTTAGTCCTCAAGCTGACATCTTTGCTTTAAAAAGGTCTTGTGCCACAGG